AAAATTTTGAAAAAAAATATCGATATCAGTATTAAATTACTCTTTAAAAGTTCTTGTGTTTTAGTGTAATTTCCTTAATTAAATTTTTTTAATTATAATTTAATTTAGGTTTAATAATATAATTTAATTGTGTTGGGACCGGGATCAGCGGCCCATAACCGGTTATGAAGAACCTTGACCGGCCTTACCATTTTCGATCGGGACCGGGATCGGTAATGGCCGGTTATGAGAAAGTTTGAGACCGACTAGGACCAGCCCAGCCCTGCCTAGATCAATTTTTGACCATCACTAGTTGTAATTGTAAAATAGATTTATCATTTATGCATGTAAAATATAAATGGCCCATATTCCAATATAACCATTTCTTATGTCCATTTATTTAGTTTCAATAAAATATTATTTATTCATATTATTTACAACCGTTTGATTAAGATAGACAAATGGATGGTCCGGATAAATTATATTGTTCAACTTTTTTGTTGTTCTATCTTGAGTAGAGATGGCCAAAAACCGGTCCCGGGCCGGTCCCAATCGGTCCTCACCTTTTTCATAACTGGCCATAACCGGTCCTGGTCTCGGTCCCGGTCCCGATCGAAAATGATAGGACCGGTCAAGGTACTTCATAACCGGTTATGGGCCGCCGGTCCCGGTCCCAATCGGTCCTTGCATTAAAAAAATAAGATATTTTTTTATTTTTTTAATGATATATATTTTTAATACATTATAAAATTTACAATTGAGTCACTCAAATACACATTCAAAATATGTTTTTAATATAATTAAAATTATGTTTTCTTATAAAAATACATTATAAAATTATTTAAAAATACATTTATTTATAAAAGTATTTGAATTTTCGGGCCGGCCGGGCCGGTCCATAGTCGGTCTCATAACCGGTCCCGGTCCCATAAAACTACCAAAAACCTCAACCGGTCCCGGTTTTCAATCTCATAACCGGTCCTTACCGGTCCCGGACCGGTTCTCTGGCGGTCCCGGGCCAGGCCGGGCCGATTTGGCCATCTCTAATCTTGAGTCCACCCTTTGCATGTATGTATGTGATATCCTTTTGATGATATTTGATATCATTTAAATAATAACTCACTTGCAAAATTCAGGACACTGCTAAATTATTTTAAGTGTGGATTATAAAGATTTTTTAAAAGAAAAATTCAGGTACCTACAATGTTACTAATCATATATACGTAATAACCCTTTTATAAACCTTACTTTCAACCCATCTGTTCGGAGTTCGATTCAAAGCGTATACAACAATTATGGCCATTGAGTTTATCAGAGCTAATTTCTTGCAGTCACAAAAAAATTAGTTCAGATGTAACCTGAGACACCCTTCTAGAAAAACCTTATTTTCGAATGGGATATTGTAACAACCCAACCTCCTGTATATAAAGATAATAAAGTACATGGACTAGATGTGTAATTAAGTGTAAGATAAGTCTAGGGACTAGTTGGTATTAAACTCAAAGTGAGAAAACGTTATATGTAAATGTTTAAAAGAAACTTGAAATATGGAATGGAAGGGATCGAGCAGGGTCCCTTGCACGAGTTAATTTTCTTGAAAGCATAAAGTTCGTAAACAAAAACTTATTGAACAAGTAACTGATTTTATTCGGGGTGTTCATTCTATTACATAATTTGCTTGCAGCACCAGATTATACAATTTAGAACTTTCGATATATGATTTGCGCCTTGAAATATTTTATAAAAAATGCTTGGATTCGTCAAACCTTTTATAAAAGGATCTGTATTTTATAAAATTTTGTGGAACTTCATTTTTGTAAAACATCTCATTTATATTTTAAAAAAAATAATCACGCCTATGTCTATTTGGTATTTTGAAATTGAAGCTTAAAATATTTCTTCGCACGAAATAGTTTGTTGTTCGTCGTGGCTTACATCTCGATAAATATTTTTTTGAATTCCTCAATGCGCCACATTTTCTTTGTAAACGTTATTGCATGAATCCCGCTGCACTTGATTGTATTTCATGATAGCTCGTTTTGTCACTTAAACAAATTCTTGTACATCAAGTAAATTGTTAGTACAAAATGATATGGTTGTTTTCAGTGATCAAAACTTGTGGGATTGTCAAGTAATTTATAATTTATAAACTTATCTATGTACACTTGGCTCTTGACCGACGAGTGCATAAGCGTCTGTTAGGTGCGCTGATGGTTAGATCAACACAAAATGCTAAGTTAAATCAGTAAAAGTATCTCATGACCTATTTACATGGTCTGAAAACATCAATTATATGTATAGGTAGTGTGTAAGTAGTAAGGAATTGACATATACCAAATTAAGGTGGGTTTTCAATGAGATATTTCTCAAAATGTGATACATGCACATGTATTGGTTACAATTATTTGGTGATGTTTATATATGCATGTTATATGTTTACATTTTAGAGTTCAATCATGCTATGTGTTTATGTTTTACATGAAAATTAACTGTTGTTTTTGGCTATGTGCATGAGGTATGTATCGGGATACTATAATGACATGAGAGAATATTGTGGTTAATGCACGAAGCTGCTACAAACATGACAAGGGTGTCTTTGTGCTTGGTTGGTACAACCCTGGTAAATTTATGTGTCACATATCACCTTTAAGTTGATTGGGACATAATTAGCAAGTTATGACCCCCATAATGTCAATTCAAGATCGAGCTCTCAATTATTTGTGTTGATGTTCATGCAAGGTCAATATATGATATGCATAACTATTTACGAAAATTACATTAAAAATGTATGTTCGAATATTTTATATGCCACCCATACTAACATCTCAATTATACATCTAAATGAAAGTATGATTAGCATCTCTATACTTATGAAAATGTTGCTATTCGTTTATCACTAAAACCAGTAACTCATTAAACGTACACTTAACTAGTAGTGTGTATCTCAACGGCAATGAAGACTAATTACGACAAGGACAAGGACAATATTTGACGACATGGGGTAGATGACGTTATGATTTTTGTTATTAAGTGTTAAGATAAATATGTCAGCATTCTAGTTATTTTAGTTACGAGCATGTAGTTCCAGTTGTTTAAGTCTTTTGTTGTGTTATGTTGAGACATCTAAGAACTTAAGCGACCTTTGGACGGGGTATTAAAAGGTGGGGGATGAGAATGATAATCATTGAAGGTGTTCGGTTCTATACAATACAAACAGCACCGAAAACCGTCTTTACATTGTATTTCCCCATGTCCATCAAAAGCAGGTCCTTTGTACACATTTTGCTTTCATCAAAATCAAGAGCATATATAAAAAACTTCATTTGTCATATATTTTTTTTTCTGTTACATTATTGTCATCTCAAAAAATTAAATACCACAACAAAACTCTACAATAGAGGTTCTTATAAAAACCTCACTTTCCAAAATTTTAATTTATAAAATATAATTTTATTTATAGATTAATATATAATGTAAAATTATAAAAAATATCAGATAAATTTTATTTACTTCACTTTTCTATATTAATTTTAATTTGTTGATTTATATATTTTGTTAACATGTTTGGAAGAACAGTTAAAACATAAACATAATTTTATACTACAATTAAAAAAAGTAAAAAATTACTAAATAAATAGTAATATAGATCAATCGTAATCTTGATTCGGCCAAATATGTTCAACCAAGTCGGAGCGGAGTTGGTGATGAATTTCATTTGAGCTCATACCAGAATTTCATAGATGATATTCTTAGAATTCATGCGTAGATCTTGAAATATTTATG